TGATTGGTTTATTGGCTTATTTCATAGAGATATTTATGAAGTGTTAGAAGATATACCCTATAATGATCATAATACAATCATGAAGTTTGACACTATGTTTGGCCATAATACTTGGAAGTGTTTGAATAAAGTAGATATTTTGCCAAATGAATTAAGAAGAATATTGCAATATTATTGTTTCTTTATGAGGACATTGATTAAAACCACAATGAAAAAATTACTCTTCAGTCATCTAACATAAATTAATAAAATAACTAATGCATCTATAATATGCATTATGTCCTTATTTAGTTGTTTAGTACTTTCTTTTTTCATTAAGGACTCATTCTTCATTTTTTTTTTGTTGGAGTTGTAATATGTTATTTATTCTTTTTATATCAGGACACCATTATATTAATATTGAAAAACATATATTAAGAACTCATTTGTTCTACATTTTATTTTATTTCTACAACTATATATTTAATAAATAAATTAATTTATCTACTAAATTTAATAGGCCAAAACATCCATTACCACGTGCATCGCACGTGCACTTTACTAGTATTATAAAAACGAGTTGAATTATAACGTTTAGTAATGTTTTCTTGTAATGTTGCACAAAAATAGCTTTTGAAGGAACTATACCTTTTCATATACCCATATAATCTTCACGAATAGCTTTTTGGGTAAGTAAATATCAATATTCATTTCACAAAAATATCTTTTATTACAATAGTTTAAAAATTATTTCAAACAACTTCATAATTCTTTTATTCCATGGATATTAGTTTTTTTTTTTTAACGATAGAAATAATCTCATACTAATAAAAGTCTGTCAACTAGCCCATAAACCACAAAAGACTCATTTAGGACATCGACCACTCAAAGACTCAATAGCTTTGTTTAATTTCTCCTCAACAAAACCCTCAATTTTCCTATCGTTCCCCCATGTGGGTACCACAACATCATAACTTTTTTCATACCCTTTCTAGCAATAACGTCGTTGAAATCTATCAAACTCCTCTCACCTCTTATTCTTCCCGTTGACTTCTCTTCCCCACAAAAAGCATCATTCCAATCTCCCATAATGAACCACCTCTCCCTCCAATTTTGCTTTTAATTTCTAGCATCTCCACTTTTTCTCTTTGAGTGCTCTATTAGTACTCATATAAACTAACATTCCCCATCTACTCTCTTCATTTTGGATTTTGAATTCCACTTCCAAGCAAAAATCCCTAGGCATAACTTTAAGAGTATCTACTTCCCTTAACCACATAAGTAACAACA